CTGGAGCGCAGCGTGCTCAACTCCAGCAGCGCCTGGGCCGTGGAGTTCTACGCCTCCTGGTGCGGGGACTGCGTCCACTTCGCCCCCACGTGGCGGGCGCTGGCCGCAGACATCCTGGGTGAGTGCCCGGCCCCGGCCCCCTCGGGCCCTTCCTGCTGCGGCTCTCCGGGCCCGGCAGGAGGGCTGGGCTGGCCCCGGCGGAGGAGTTTGAAGCTGGAGTTGTGCCGGCAGAGCCCGGTAGCGCAGGCTCGGGCGGGCGTTGGGGCATCTCGTAGAGCCCGGGCTCAGATGGGCCCCGGCAGGTCTCTCCGAGGAAGGCGTTGGCCTCCCACCAAGGGCCCCCCGTGCTGGACGGTCACGGCTGCAGCTTTGGCCTTTGTAGGTCAAGGTTGGGCCGGGGCGGGGAACATTGCCTGGCCCCAGACGGCTTCCAGAAAGGGCCTCCTGGGTGAACGCCTCCGCAAGGCTTCATGTGACGTCAGAGTCCGCTTCAGCCCAAGGGATCCTTAAGTGTTTAACAGCCTAATTGATGGCCTAACTGTAGGTACCTAGAGCTAGATAAACTACCCCCCCCCCCTTGAAGTGGAAAGTGGTAGTTGTTTGGAAATGCATGGTGCCACGCTGTGTAGTTTAGGACAGACGGTGAAGAATAATGATCCCGGCTGAAAAACACAGGGGGGTGGTTTAGCTATTCTGCATCTCTGGGATCCATTGTCATCACCCTGCTCCGGAGTGTGCTGTGCCTCAGCCCTTCCCTTACTCATCCTTCTGGAGAGTGGTGGCCGGTAATGGGGTGGCCCATTATCACACCCAGCCTGGTCATTGAATAACATTTTGCTTTCTGTCCCAATCTGGGGATCCTAAGCTGCCTCAGAAGTAGTAATGGATTTTGCTTCCCACTCTCGGTCTGACAGAGGGAGCATTAGGGAGAACCTACCGGAAGGACGTTGGCACAAGTGGGGATGGTCCTCTGGTGTGTGGATCCCTGTACCACACAGTGAGATTACTAGCTTCTGGAAGAAGAGGAGGGCCAGGCAGAGAGTTAATGCTGTCCAGTCCAGGCTTACTGCCAAGGAGGCAGCTCAGCCAGCCCATGAGTTGCAGGGCTCGGGCTCCGGCTCGGGCTCCGGCTCTGGGTGCAATGTTATAAATCAGGTGCGTGACTGCTACTTGTATATTTACAAGGGGCTGAGGCCTTACCAACAGTAGTGGTTGTGGTCAACATTCTTCTTCTCGTGTATGACTTCAGAAAGTCGACTCCTCCAACCATTTAAGAGTAGATCCATCAATATTACTGCAGTCTTTCAGACTTGTTCGCTCCCTCTGGTGGACCATATAGAGGGCAGTCAGTTAGTTAATATATGCTGGGCTGTCTGAACTCCTTTGCCACAGGGACACGATGGTGAGTTTGTAAGGCTCATTTTATGTTTCATTTTGTTGCAGGCTCCATAGCCTGATCACAGTCGATTCAGGTTTAGCCATGCCTTACATGGGAGTTTATAACCAGGAGGGTGTGAGGATGGTAGTTGTATGTAGTTGTGTAGTGGGGTGTGGACATATTGCAGTGGTCGACATATTGGGCACAGACACCCACCCCCGCAGGCCAGAGAGAACCAATCTGCACATGCTGTACCCGTGCACTGAGCTGGGCGGGAGTTGCTGACAGTAGCTCCCTGGTTGTTCCCCCTGGGAAAATGCTTAACAGTATTCATGATTGACTGGAACTGGTGACCCATGCGGGTAGCAGGGGGTGGAACTGTATGCTGACAGATGCTGTACTACTTGTTTTAACTTGTGTTGGCTCTAATGCCTGGGCTTGACATTGTGGCTGTGAAATGTTTGTGCTCCCACATGCCATGGACAGATGGTAGCTTGATGCTCAACAAACAAGGACACAGAGAGCCTCTGCTGGAGAGTCTCCACTTAAGAATCTATGGTTTCCTGCCCTGTGAAGAAAATACACCCTGCTTTTGGTGTGAGGGGGGATCTGTCCCTTTAGTGACACCATTTCTTACATGAATGCTGCCCCTGTGATTTCCCTGCATAGAGGTGGGTGCTGTGAGGGCCTGGCACAGCTCTCCTGAACTCTAGCTCAGGGCTTGGTGCAGTTGCCTGCAAGGGCCTGTTAGGTCCTACTGCAACACAGTTCAAATAAGCAGGCAGCAGTGAGCTCTTGGTCTAGCTTTTGGCATACATGTGGGTGCACTGGTGTTGCCTGAACAGGAGGGTGCAAGCAAGTCCAGACTCCTTGCAATGTCTGTATGACAGCACAGACAGGACTTGTTTTTTCCCCTCCTCTTTTGTATTCTGGCCCAAAAGTCTGTGTATAACGCAGGGCATTAGAGGAAATCTGGTCTCTGCTTCTCTGATGGCTCTAGAACAGGGGCTGATAAAGTCCAGCCTGCTGGCCGAAGCTGGCCTGCAGCGGACTCCATTTCCCGGCAGTCCTTGCCCATGTGGCTGTGGCTGGTTTCCATGGAGACCCCAGCAGCAGCCACTGTGGTGATAGCTGGGGCCAGGGTTTCCGTGGAGCCCAGCCCCAGCAGCACTGGCAGAGTGCATGGCAGTGTGGGGAGCTGCTCCAGGGCTGAACTGGGATCTTGCAGCAGTGACAGCATGGTCCAGAGCCGGGGCAAAGCCGCGCTCCACACCCTGCATGTCCCTGCTTGGAGCACGTAGGCTGCAGATCGCAGGTCTGCTCTGGCTGTGGACCACGCTGTCACCGCTGCAAGATCCCAGCTCAGCCCCCAAGCAGCTCCCCGCCCTGCCAGCACTGCTGGGGCCAATCTCCATGGGAACCACAGCCCCAGCTATCATAGCTGGCTGCTGCTGGGGTCTCCATGGAAACCGGCTCCAGCCTCATTGGCAGGGGCTTCTGGGAAATGGAGTCTGGCTGCCCTCTGGATCCATCATTTTGCCCACTTCTGCTCTTGAATCCCATAAATTAAAGTGTTGGAAAAGCTCCATGAATCTGACTGGGCAAAGGCTGATCTTAAAGGAGAAACCTTGTGGGGCAATGAGGAGTGAAGCCTGCCCAATCTGCCTTGAATTCTTGTGCCAAGAGATGATATTTTGTTGAGAGTTTGTGCCACCTGGCTTTTTCACAGTGGGTCAGTGGGATTAATCCTCACTTTCTTGCAGGACTTGGAGAGCCTCTAACTGAAATCTTGCTGGGAGGTGGGGGTGTGTTGACCCTTTGAGTAAATTAAGCTGTGCAGATCCAGGTGCATGCCCCTTGGGCCTCATTAAGAAGAGGGGGTGGAACCTGGGACTGATCAGTAGAGACCAGAAGGCAGCTAGGTCTGTGTATGTGGCTGGTCCAGGGCATGAACTACATGCAACAAGGGCAGCTGGTCTGGGGAACATGATGCTTGTGGTACCTGTGCTGGAAGCAACCCTGCACACGGGATTCAGCACATGGAACTGGTCTGTGGACCTGATCTAACCCAGCCTCGTGCCCCATGCATACTACACCAGACACGTTGTGTGCGCTACATTGAGGCAGGTAACACCATGGTCCAAATGACACAGCTCTGTGGTTGAATCTGGTCTGCAGGCCATAACTTTGACACCCCTGCCTTAGAAATTCCCCTCTATACTCATGAAAAAGAGGAGTTACTGCCTCATAAGCCCTGTGTAGGCCATGATTACCAAACTTTCCTCAGGAGAGTAAAGAGCAGTGGCCCATTCAGCCCCACTTTTTTTCTCTGACTTGGACCATCACTGGCTGCCATGGAAAAAGAAGACAGAATCCGTATTGTAGAACAGCCTATTCCTAAAGGACCTTGATTTCCAGGCCCACTAGGTGGTGGTTGGCTTGTTTCCTGAAGTGTGTGGGTTTATAGCCATTGTAATTCCTTTCTGTCTAGCACAACTGGAAGTTCTTGTCCACATAAATGTCCTTCCTGTCCTGAATCCTGATAAACTCTTGGCTTCCATAGGTTAATGGTGTCATGTTTTACCCTTGGTTGTGATCCTTTGATAGGTGCTAAATTGCTGCCTTGTCACTTTCCTTGATTGCCCCATATTTGTGGATCTGCTCTAATAGGAGAGGGGGCTGCTTTCTCTGTTTGCCATTGCTTTACATACCTGTCCTGTATCCTATCTAATGCATCCCTTCTCAACACTGCCATTGTTTTTTATCTCTGCTTACTTAAAGGTCTTGCCATGTCTCTTACCATGAGCTCTGGTCAGAATGCGAGAGCTTTGGGAAGCCTGCGTCCCAGGTTGGGGACCAGGATAAAGTGCTGCAGGTCAGGACTGAGGCATTGGTGAAGCTGAAACAGGAATCCAGCCCTGGAAGAACTGGAATAGTAGGGCTGCTGGGGGTCAGAGTGAAGTGGCGTTGGCAGAGTTGTCTGAGAGCTCAGGACTGAAATAGCAGGATGTTGGGTATTGTAGGACAGGACTGGCAGCTTGCACAGCATTGGTTTGCACAGAGCTCGATCCTGGCTAGCACTGCTTTCTCTTTGCAATCCTACCAAAGGCTATGTCCAATGAGAGGCAGGAAAGCACCCTTCTGATTGGCTTATTTTGCAGGGAGTGTTTGACTCTGGGCCAGTGTCCAGTACCAATGTGGTTTATCATGCTGGCTTGTAGGGGGCTCTGGCATCTCCTTTTGAACGAAATGGTGCCAGTGGACTCCATGGCCTCATTTGGCATGTTATGGCATCTTATGGATTCTGCAGAGAAAGGGTAGAGGGAAGGATGTGAATGCTCCAAGCAGCAGAGCCCTGCTCCTGAGGGTCCCTTGAACTCCTGTGTTGGTTCCTCTTCTCCACAGTAGTTTCATGCATGAGCCCCATGCATGAGCCCCAACCACCCCACCCTTCATTTCGTATAGGTTAACAGCTACTGCAGTAGTCTTAACCACCTCAAAGCCCCAGAAGTAAATTGAGTTCCCTGCCAGCCAGATAAGAATTAAGCATGGGTCTTTAGAGCTCTGAAATTAAGTATATGAGGTAGTTTACTCCATTTATACTGGGCAGAAGGATATTTCACTCTTCTCGGCAAAGGAGAGAAAGGACCGCCCTTTCTGGCATAGTGTTTCTGTAGCTGCCTGGATCTGAAACCTCCCAAGCTCATGTTCATGCTCCACTCTCCTGGGCACATGTATGCCTGGAGCATGCCCCGTGGATCTCTCATGCAATAAAACTGCCATGGGCAATTATTTCGGCTGGAGGGCAACTTAACAAGTTTTGGCGAGCTGTTGAGGGCTGCAAGGGTAGACCCGCCCCTTGATAGGTGCCCTGCCCCCTGGTCACCATTTTGGGACTGGAAGTTTTGCCCCTGACCTTTGCCATTAGACATCCTTCCCCTTGCTCTGGAAGTACTCCTTTGGGAGTGTTGCCAGCTTGAAACCGGGGGAAAGAAAACCAATTCTATACTAAAAACAAAATCAAACATCTACTATAACTTATTTTAATTTGATTTCAAAAAATATTTTTGTCCTGATTTATGTGTATTTGTGTAGTGTATCTAGAGGTGATTGCATAATAGCTAAAATACAGTCACTCTTATGTATTGTGTGTCTGGGATAAGAGGGTGTATGTGGGGGCTGTGTGGTTGGGGGTGGGTGGGGGAAGGGGAGTGGTGTGGATTATGTGGTTGGGGTGGGATTGCATGAGAGGATGTGGGTATGGTTGTGGGGTGGGAGTGTATGGAGGCTGTGGGAGGGTCTGGGTGTGTTTGGGGGCATGGTGGGAAGATTGAGAGTGTGTGGGGTGTGAGGAGGTTATGATGGGGTGGGAGTGTGTGTGTGGGCTGTGGTAGGGCGTGGAGTTATGGTGGGTTGTGGGAGTGTGTTGGGGTATGGTGGGAGGATTGGGAGTGTGTGGGGTGTATGGGGGGTTTTGATGGGGTGGGAGTGTGTGAGGGCTGTGGTAGGGTGTGGGGGTATGGGGTTACGGGGGGGGCAGTGTGCAGGGGGGGGCTGTGGGAGGGTGTGGGTGTATGTTGGAGGTATGGTGGGAGGTGGAGAGCTAGCCCATCCCATCACAGCAGAACGCGATTCCAGCTGCATGGCTGGGACCCACACAGTGTGGCACAGAGCCAGCCTGGGTCAGTGATGTGCTAGAGTTTCAGGAGCTGCACAAAGTCCCACGTCATCCGGCTTGGCCAGTTCCGTGCCTCCATGTGGTGCTCCTGGCACTCTAGCTGGGAGTGGCACATGCTAGAGTCCCATGAACCCCTCCCCCCGGCCCATTCTTACCTGAATTTCCACTCTAGGATGGAGGGGGGGCTGGGGAACAGCCACAGGGTTGCCAGGGCAGGAGGCTCTGCTAGGCACAAGCTTCTGGTCTTCAGAAGCTTCTGGGGGTTGGGGGGATGGTGGGACAGGACAGGGCTAGGCATGTTGAGTTAGGTTTGAGGTTTGTCACGTCTCAACCAGAGCCTGAGCTGCTTGGTGCTGTAGCCGGCGCTTCCTGCTACCGGTGTCTCATCCGGTAATAATTGTCTAAATTTTAGAGGGGCCCTGTGGGCCAGATATAATAGCCTGGCAGGCCAAATCTGGCCTGTGGGCTGTATTGTTTCTGCCCCTGCAATAAAAGCACAGAACTTTTCTATGTCTTTTGGATTCTGTGCCAGAAGCAGTGATTTGTAAGCGCTGGGATATATGAAGGAGCTGGTGTTTCCCTTGAATGCAGATCCCTTGTGTGCTGATGGCTAATGTTTCCCTCCTCCCAGACCTGTTACTGCTGGCATTTATATGTAGCTATACAGTGAGAGCTGTGCTAACATCTGCCTAGTGGTTATGGTAGTGTGCTTGGCTGGCCAGTAACATTTTGGCCTCCCCAAGAGTTTCTCTATATTAACTGTTCTAAGTTACACAGCCATGGCAGGAGGCTGGAAGACAAGCTAATGGATTTCATTGTGCTCCACTTGCCTGCCCACTGCTGCTATTTCCAACAAACTTTTGGCTGCTTTCCACAGTTCTGTGTTCTGTTTCTGCTCTCTGGTCCTGGGAATCGACTGGCTAGAATGAGCTAATTGATTCTCTCTGGCCTGTGGTGGGTGGGTCTCCATGCCCAATGTGTCTCATGATGACCACTACTGTTGATAAGGCCTCAGCCCCTTGTATGTTATGGAGTAGCAGTCACACACCTGATTTACAACATTGCGCCCCGGAGCCAGAGCCCAAGCTCTGCAATTCATGGGCTGGCTGAGCTCCCTACCTCCAATCTTTTGCGTGGGGGGAAGGGAGCATGGGAACAAAATGTTCTGGATTCATCAGCCTTTGCACACAAGGACATTGAGAACCAGTGTTTATGAAGGAGGGATTAGCAGCTCTGAATTGGCTTCCTCCCCAATTCTGCCCTTGGCACTAGTCCAGATCTCTTCTGTTCCCCATGACTCTCAGCTCAGCCTGTCCCTGTGAGGGGCTGGGAGGACACTGTCCTCCTCATGTTGGCATGGAAGAGGCTGTTGCCTCAACAGAAGGGTTCTTCCCTCCCTCCCTTCCTCCCCCAGTGCCTGCAGTTGAGATCTAGGAGTTCACAGCACTCATCCTGGCTGCACAGACTCACACTATGGCAGTTTGAGAGGAAGGAAAGCAGGAGCCGGGCAGTGGTGCTGTGATCCCTGCATCCTCAGGCTGTGGAGGGGGGATGCTGGGGCTGGACTGTGGGTATTTGGTTTGTGAACAGTAGGGGAGTTGCCGAGAGTACCATGAGCTATTCGGAGTTGTCCTCTACCCTCACTGAAAGGGGCCCATGTTCAGTGCTACATTGGAAGCGGGATCCTAGCACTAGCACACGCTGCTCACTGATCCCTCAAGTAGTAGACATGTGGGCACTGCCAACCCATGCACAACTTGGAGAGGAGCCCTTCAAGGCAAATGCTGAGTGCTCCTGCCATTTATGTATGTGGTGTTCTTCCTGCACCAGTTGTCAAACATGGCTTGGGTATGGAGCTTGGGCATGATGCTGGTGAAGGAGCAGGCTGAGGTCAGGTCAGTAAGAATGAGTTCCTGCCTTGACAGGAGCATGAAAGGGTCCCATGGCCACCTGCATTATCCAAAGGGTTTGAGCCCTGTTGTGCTGACCACATTCCAGCTTGGAGCACTGCATTCACCTTGTCACTAAAATCTGCTGGTGCTGTATTAATTGAGTGATTTGACTCATGTAGAATGCTCTTCTTCACTTGCTGTGCTCAGCTACTGCAGAGTATCTGCTCTGCGTGGTTAAACAGCTGCCATCCTTTACTCTAGAGGCAGCTTTATGTTTAGTTCTGGCTAAAGTGACTTCTCTGTATGGTGTGTTAGAAACACAGGAGGCAGGTGCTGCTCCTAGAGGTCAGGTCTTGACCATGGAAGTGCAGAATCCAAGTGTCAGCACTTAGTTGTTTGAAAAGGACAGAGATTGAGGGGGGATGTACCTGGTATTCCATAGGGCTCTGTGGGACTAGCCAGTGGGGTCTGTGTCTGGGAAATGGACACTCGCACTACTTTCACTGCATATAGAACCAGTTTTAGAAGCGAGTAAGCAGGGCTCTACCTTGTGCTCCCTGACTATGTGGATCCCACTAGGCTAAGTTAGTACAAGTCATACCATATGTAGGTGAGAGGAGGGATGGGCCCATGACTTAGCCTCTGCCTTGTGCCCCCACCAGTCTAACTCTCTCTGCTCACATAATCAATATATTTCTTAGCTAGGAGTAGAAGCTGCCCTAGCGTGCCAGTGGGCACCTTGTAGTTTTGCAGATGCAAGGGTAAGTGCTGTACAGTAGACACCCTCAGGCTTAGCTCTACTCTTGCATTTCATACAGTGATTTGTGGCAAAGATCATAGGCTGGAGTAGCTGGGAACTCCTTCAGGGACTCCTTTGCTGGGTGAGGTTATAATGGGAGTAGCTGAGAGAATGTCTGTAATCTAATCAGCACACCTCTGATTGCCCTCTAGTAAAAGCTGCCCCTGAAATCCCTCACTCCCCTCATATGCTGTGTTTCTTCCCCATTTTGTACTTGCTGAGGCTGGAGTTAGCACCTGCTCTTTAACAGCAGGTGCTCCTGGAATTGCACTGAATGCAGAGGTAATTCAGCTCTTTTAACCATGTCTGTCATTTTGTCTGTCCTTCTAGAATGGAGACCAGCGGTGATACTTGGTGCCATCAACTGTGCCGATGAATCCAATGAGAAAGTGTGTAGGGACTTTAGAATAACTGGGTACCCAACTTTAAAGGTAAAGTTTACAGGGGCTGGGATGGGATGGGAGGAAAGCAGAGCCTGTCTCATTTGCCTGGTATCAGGGCTGCAGCCTGTTTGATATGATATCCAAGAGTCTCTTGATCAGTTCCTCAATGGCTCTGGTCCCCAGTCTGCATATTGCATGGTGTTTTGACTTTGTTTGGAGAGGGGCTGAATAACAGTAATTGGCCACAGGCCAATTCAGACATTCACAAACCTGTTTATCTTGATTCAATAGCAAAAAATGTTTAGTATATAGGGTGGTTCTCTGGCTATGGGGAACAAGGCAGGGAGGAAGAATTTTCTATGTATGAATTGTCCCTTAAAAAGGTTGCCAGGGGAAACTGGATTAGCTTGTCTCTGGGAAGCTGTTATGGGCCTTGTGGCTCAGGGAGCAGCTGTCACAGATGTCTTGAGGGATAGCCAGCACCGGTTTGTTGTGGGTAGGTCTTGCTTGACCAATCTTATCTCCTTTTATGACCAGGTGACCTATCACCTGGACAAGGGAGAGGAGATTGACGTCATATATCTTGACTTAAAAGAGCCTTTGATCTGGTATCCCATGATCACCTCTTGGCAAAACTGGCCAACTGCGGCCTCAGGTCTACCACGATCCGCTGGCTGGGGATTTGGCTCCGTGGTCGGACCCAGAGGGTGGTGGTTGATGTAAGTCAATCGTCATGGTGCCCTGTGACCAGTGCAGTCTCCCAAGGCTCTGTCCTTGGACCTAGATTGTTCAACATCTTCATTAATGATGTGGACATTGGAGTCAGAAGTGGACTGGCCAAGTTCACCGATGATACCAAACTCTGGGGTAAAGCATCCACACCTGAGGACAGGAGGGTGATCCAGGCTGACCGTGACAGGCTCAAGAAATGGGTGGATGAAAACCTGATGGTGTTTAATACTGAAAAATGCAAGGTTCTCCACCTTGGGAGGAAAAACCTGCAGCATCTTTATAGGCTTGGCAGTGCTACGCTGGCTAGCACTACAGATGAAAGGGACTTGGGGGTCATGATTAACCACAAGATGAATATGAGCCTTCAGTGTGATGCTGCAGCCAGTAAAGCAAGCCAAACGCTGGCTTGCATCCATAGATGCTTCTCAAGCAAATCCCAGAACATCATTCTCCCCTTGTACTTGGCCTTGGTGAGGCTGCATCTGGAGTACTGCTTCCAGTTATGGGCTCCTCAATTCAAAAAGGATGTGGAGAAGCTTGAGAGAGTCCAGAGAAGAGCCACGCTCATGATCAGAGGTCAGGAAAACAGACCTTACAATGACAGGCTGAGATCTATGGGGCTCTAGCTTGGAAAAGCACGGGCTCGGGGGCGATCTGATGGCCACCTATAAGTTTATCAGAGGTGTTCACCAGGATCTGGGGGGATGATTGTTCACCAGAGCCCCCCAACGGATGACAAGGTTGAAGGTTATAAACTCCAGCAAGACCATTTCAGGCTGAACATAAGAAAGAATTTCTTCACTGTCCGAGCCCCCAAGGTCTGGAATAGCTTGCCACCGGAGGTGGTTCATGCACCTACATTGAACACCTTCAAGAGAAATTTGGATGCTTATCTTGCTGGGATCCTATGACCCCAGCTGACTTCCTGCCCCTTGGGCAGGGGGCTGGACTCGATGATCTTCCAAGGTCCCTTCCAGCCCTGATGTCTATGAAATCTATGACATCTATATGTGGCCTACTGCCATGGAGACCCTCCAGTAGCACTGATGTCCCCCTCATTTCCTAGGAGAGAGGCCTCTTGAGAGTGCCTGTTAGCTGAGCACCCTGTGTGATAGAGTACCCCTTCTGACTAAGAGAGCCATTTTTGTGGCCTTCCTGTCTGCTCTGATGAGTGAGGATCTCACTCATCTATGTGGGTAACACCCCTGTCCTCCCGAAGGGCTTTCCAAATGACATTTGGCACCTAGGAATTGCCCCACATCCCCCTTTGTGAAGTGCAGCCCCCTAGGGAGTGACACACAGCAGCTGTTTAAAACCATGCAGCACCTCTTCCTTGCACTCCAGAGTAGGAAGTAAAGAATCCAATGTGCATATGCAGCCTTGTCAGGGATTAGGGTAGGCAGGGCATAGCTGCATGCAAGAATTGTTCAAGAATGCTGGAAGAAATACTTCAGGTCTTGTCGCAAACACTGTGGGGGTGACCACAGGTGACCTGGCTTCCCTTTTTTATTGTTTCCTGGGTAGCAGGGTTGCAACCAGGCTGCCGGGGGTGATGGTTGGGCCCTTAGCATGGGGGCTGCTATTTTTGGTTCTTCCCAAAGTTGGCATCTGCGTCTGGTGCTCTTCTGCCCCCTCCGGTTATGCTACTAGGTCTTTGTGCCACAGAGACACCAAGAGAAATTTTTTCCCATCTGCAAGCTATTTTGAGGATGCCTGATGGCTCTGCTGTTGATGGCTGTTACTTCTAATTCTTCCCCTTGGTCCCATACCCAGAAGCGAATTGTATAAATAAATATACTTTAAATATTTGCTTATGTTGGATTGAAGTTTGGCTTCAGCCAAACCTTCAGAGATGTCTTCTTAACAGGTGGTTAATCCCCAGAATTTGGAATTGCTTTGAAGTTTGGACAGGAGAAGGAGGGGGACAGGAAAACTTCACTATGAATTATTATTTACAAAGTGACACAGGGACACACAGGATGCCAAGCACATTACAGGAGTCTTTGTTGGAGGTTTGCTGCTGTTCCTTTTGTGTGTTCCCTTTGGGAGTCTCCATAGGTAGCGCTCTCCAAGGTTTAGAGTCCGGGGGACAAAGCCAACAAAGTCTCCATCACTCTCTTCTCAGTGGCCCAGTGTGGCTCTTGCACTGCCTGTGCTCCTTCCCAGATGAAAGTGGATGTTTAAGGATTGAATCAGTTCTGGCTGGGGGAATGGTGTGGTGCACTCTGATCTGGTGCAAAGGGAAATACAGTGTCTGTCTATTTAAAATGTGTCTGCCACAAACATGCTGTGACTCAAACACAGGACTGTTTCCAAGAACTCCTTCAAAGAGAAAGGGTCAATGAAAATCCTTCTTGGTGAGAATCATCACATTTTTGTGACCCTTCAAATTATGTAAAGCAGGGAAGATTTTTAAAATTTCCTTTCACTATTCACTTTCTGTGCTATTCTCTGGCTTTTTGTTAAGTCAAATTAATTAATAGATAGTTAGCAGGATGTACAGTCAAATCTCTGGCTATGTCTTCATATCTAAAAAGAAATGCGTGTTTTGCTTTTAAGTGAGGTAATCTTAATTATCCTGCACTAGAAGCCTAGTGAAGACAAGGCATCTGTAATGTAGCCAAGCAAAGTCAGGACCCTACTGTTCACTAACAGCTAATGTTACCTTGCTACATAGCAGTAAGAACTGCTGCACGTTGTCTCCAGTAGGATTTTATGGTAAAGTAGGTCAGGAATCTCTCTGAAAACACACTTGTTTTTTGTCCCTGAAAGCAAAACTTATGTTTTCATCTACCTTGGGAATCTGAATGGTATGTTATCCTCTGATAGTTATTGGGTTTTTGAACATCACTCAGAACCTCTAGGTCACTATAAAAACATCTAAATATTAACATGACTGTTTTTTGCCTACAGTAAATGGTGAGTGCTGTTGGAAAAAAATGTCAGCAATTTGGTTAATGTTTTAATATTCTGCTCATTTCTCCACAAAGATAAATCCTGTGGGTTTTTCTTATCAGCCTTTATGTGCTAGCAGAGGTGATAGAGAGGCATGGACTTCTCTGATTCCTTTTTTCTTTACCTTGTATGCACCAACTTCTGACTGGTCAAAATCTGGTGGAAGTGGTGCCCACACTAGTGATTCCCCATGTGAGTGGTTGTATTTGTGCTGTGTCTGCAACAAGGGTAGAAGATCCACAAGAAACTCTCCCTTCCTGGTAACTGCAAGCACGAGTCCCAGCTGCTTAAGGATAGTGCCTTGCACACTGATGCACATCCATTCTGTCTCCGCCTTGCACTAGCTTTGGTTGGGAAATGCCCCTTATGGAGCTGGTGGCCAAGAAGGAGTGATTGTAAATCAGTAACTCCCCAGACTCCCATGGAAATCACTTTTCTGGACACAAGCAAAGAGGAGGTTAGTTATGCGGAAGGAAAGGTGGGGAATTAGTGAGTATGAGCTGGAATGCTGGTGATGATCAACAGTCCTCAGTCTGATAAGCATTTGCTCAGATTGCTGCTGCTGGAGGAGAGAGGACTAGGTGGTGGAGCAGTAAGCTATCCTAACTCAGGTACCTCATAGATTCATAGATTGTCAGGGGCTGGAAGGGCACTCGCAAGATCATCGGGTCCAGCCCCCCTGCAGTAGGCAGGAAAGACAACTGGGGTCAGGTGACCCCAGCGAGGTGACTGTCCAGTTTCCTCTTGAAGATTTCCAGGGTAGGTGATTGCACCACTTCTGGAGGGAGTGTAAGAATGTGCTGATTGCCTCTTGGCCTATAATATCATACTGGTCAGGTTTCAGACAGAGGATCTTGCAAAATGATCAGGTTAGCTTATGCCACTCAGTTCAATTGTTTCAGGGTCCCTGCAGGCTGAGGCAATTGTTAAATTGGTAAAAACTGAGACAGGGTCAGTTAAAAGGCTTTGTTTAAAAGTGTAAAGCTAGAAACCTATTCTCAAAACCTGCACGCTCAGATTCTGGAGTTAGGATGGCCCTGAGGTAATGAAGTACATGGAGATTTCTCTGTAATGCTCTCTTGTTTTGTGAGGGGGCTGCCTCTGGCACCCTGTTCCTACAGTCCAGGTCCACTAGCCTCGACTTGTTGGGTGTCACAAGACAGGACCTCTGAGGGCTAGTTCTGGGAAGGTTGACAGGTGACTCTACTTCCTCTACTTCCCTCCCTCTCACTTAATCTGTCAAGCCTCAGCTGGTGTTTGCCCTCTAGGGTGCAAAGATCTGTTTGTTCACCAAAGCGTTGGCTAAAAGGCCACTTGAAATGCTGAATGAGTTTGCTTGTGGGAGTGTTGTTGAATTTGCATTGTGTTGGTTGATTAGAACAAATGTGTGCATGTGAGTGCATGCACAATTGATCTGTATGTTCCTAGAAGCTGCACAGACCTTGTACAAATCTGCAACTTCTATTCACACTGTTCTATTTGGAAATTAATGGATTGTACCTTCTACACCATGTTCTTCATCCCTTGATCTTAAAGCAATTCTCCTTCTCCCTGCAGATTGGTAACCTTGGCCCAAGTCTCTCAGCTGATCAGTGGCAGAGCCAGCTATAGAGCCCAGGTCTCTGGACTCCACTCCCAGGCTCTGTGGGCTGGACTGTTCTGTTTATCCCTGTGCTCTAGGTTTAAAGTGCTGTCAAGACACTCACACTAACTCACTGTCTCTTGTTTCTTTTCAGTTTTTTGAGGCCTTTTCCAGAAGCCCAGAGGATGGAAAGAGGATCTCTCGTGAGTATTCAGTTGCCTTTTAACCCTTTGATTGAAGCCCCGGTCAGAATTCTCCTTGCAGAGTTGTTTCCTTTCAGTTTGCAGCCAGCCCTCATGCTTGCTGAGTTCTGGAGCTGGGGCAGGCTGGGAGAGCAGTGCCCCTGACTTGGGCAGGTGGGGCATTGCCAGTGGGAGGGAGCTCTAGGACAACCCCTTGCCTCTGAAAGGGAAAATCCTGCAGGGTGTCAGTGAAACTTGAACCTGACAAAAGAGGTGCATCTCTGCCCTGATCCCTTAACCGTTGGGCTGCAGAGACTGCCATATGGACTGGGGAGGTGCCCAGTAAGGCCCAGTAGCTCTTTGATCCCTCTTCTACAAGGCGAAGTTGATGTGGCAGCAAGACAGGAGGGACCCAGTATGGATGGGAGCTGGAGCTGGGACAGGTTGTGTCGGCTACTAGCCAACAGATACTACCTTTGGCTGCTTGTGAAGATTGCTGTGGGGTTAAGCTCTGTGTATTTTGTTCCCTCTACAGATGTTGATTCCAGCCTTCAGGCCTTGAGACAGGGCATAATCACCCACCTGGAGAAGTACCAGGATGTTTATCCCCCATTGGAGCCAGCCAGGTAACTGGAGGGTAATGGAATAACACCAGTACCAATTGTATTTAGTGTGTGTGCATGTTTGTGAGAGAAAGAGATATAGTAGCATGCAATTGGGCTCAGAGATGAGATCTTTCCAGGGGCAGGGGGAGCGTTGGTGTCTTGTGGGGTGAGAGATCAGGAAAGGAACAGTCTCATCCATAACAAAGCTTTTAGTAGCAGTTCTGTCATGGATACTCTGCTATGTTTCTTGGCTCCAAATCTAGGTTCTTACACACGTTGATAATGACAGTAATCAGGTGCTCACTTTAGAAGCACTCACGTTTATCATTTCTAACTGAATTCCTTTGGGAGTGGACTGGATGCCTTTCCCAGGCTTTCTTTTTGAGGTTTTCTGGACACTTAATAAACAAAACTAGGTCTATAACTAAGGTTCTTGATTTCAAAAGTTCTGATCAGAGAAAACAAGCAGTAGGATTAAATGGCTAGGCATTGGCATCATTAAAAAGAAATGAAAGGATAAACAAAAATTGTTCAGTACTAAGGTACTTGTTTATCAAAGTCTTCCCTTCAGAAATCAAAGGGAACCAAGTGAAGTTAGCTGACATATGGAGCCCAGAGATTTGAATGTGGATGAGACTTGGAATTCCTGCAAGTCAAAGATGCACATACTGTCTAGATCTTGTATCCCAAGTAATGGGGGAAACAGTTGTGGGGAAGGGCTCCTGACCAAAGTGGATAAAGGAACCACCTCAAAGATATGCGATTTTCTTTAAATACAAGACACACCTTTTTTCCCCCCACAAATTGTAAATTGGGGTGTGCACTATAAGCAAGGAAGTACAGCAACAGCAGTTTCTGTTGCTCAAGCTTCTGCTATGGGGGACAAAAAGAAGAAATTGCACATCTTCCACAGGAAACAAAGTAGTGAGCGAGGCTGGACTCCTGAGCTGCTGTTACTCAGTGACTTATTACAAGGACAGATCTTTATTTCTTCATTCTGACTTTGAAAAACAAGTTGTCTGTCTTATTCCAGGGTGTGTTGCATGCCAGAAAATATGGTATTAGGAGTACATGGGAATCCTGTAAGAAATTAAAAAAAGGAACTGATCAGCAAAGAAAGCTGTGTGAGTAGTCAGGAAGTGTTATGGATAAAGAGAGAATTGCCCCAAAGCAAACTAAGACCTCACAAAGGATGTTAAAACACCTAGCAAAACACTTCCAGCCATACAAATGAAAAACCTCCATAAACCCAAAGAAAAATATTGCAAGGGTTAGGGCTACTGTGTGCTAAAGATGAGGGAGAGATTAAAGAAGATAGCTTAGGCATGGCCTAAAACCAAAATGAATACTGCACCTCAATTTTCAGTATGCCTGATGGTGGTGAATGTGGGTTGTAGGGGTGGGGGAGGCTGAAGAACTAATGGGAACAAGATTATGGAAATGGCCATCTCAGCTGGGAAAAATTGGATAAACTCTGTCCAGAATTCTGAGGAGAGTTGCACATGAGAATTAAAAAAAAAAAAAAAAATCTTTGCTACCAGATCTGTAATCAGTCAAATTGGGAATGGCACCTGGTATGTGGGCTTTCCTGCCTGTTGTTCCTTCTACAGGCACTTCAACTCACCTGCAGGGCTGCACCAGGTGACCCTTAAAGTTCCTTTCAACCCCATGATTCTTCAGATTTTGTATAATGTGGCCATTTCCCAGCTTGAAGAGTTATGCCCCACGTGGTGCTGCCTGTTTGTTCTTTATGCACTTGTTGCCACTTTTCCAGTGCTTACGTGGGGGGAATGTTCCTGTCTTAGTGACAACCCATCCTGTTGTCTTGCTTTTTTCCCTTATAGCACAGAGGAGGTTCATGGGTTCTTTCAGAAAAACAAAGTTGCGTACCTGGCCCTTATCTTTGAGAAGAACGACTCCTTTCTGGGCAGAGAGGTGATGTTTTCTTGTAATGTTATATTGCTCTAGCCCCTGCAGTTGTGATGATGTTCCCCCCACCACATGCCTGTGCTTGTTGTTGTTAGCACATAGAAAGAGAGGGCAGTTATTTTCCCAAAGAGGTTTCTGTGAAGTAGTATGACCAGAGGTGCAAGTTCTCCTTCCACACCCTGCACCTCTGAAGAGTTTAATTGGCATTGAGGCATAACATTAGTCTGGAGCCCTTCTTTATGCCCCTTCTAGTTTCCATAGATATTACATACCATTTGCTGCAGAGGGAAGAATATGAGACCCAAGTAGTTTTCCAAAGATGAATAAGCCCTGGGCTCAAGAGCCAGAAATTGATGGGTTTCAAACTCATCTCTTCACCCAGTTTGGGCCAGTCCCTTACCCCCTGTGTGTCTCCAATGACAGTTAATGTTTTTCTACCTCTTGGGACAATTGGGAGGGCCAGGTAATGTTTGGGCACTGCCTGGAGGATGTGAAGGGTTATACTGGAACTGAATTGTCCTGCTGGCCTGGAGGAGCTACAGGCTTCCCACTGAACTCCCTAAGGTCAGCTCTGCCCACGGAGGAAAACTGCTGTGATGGGTCTGGTTCCTGGGACATTCTGTGCCTTGGGTAGCCTGACCTGGGAGCATCTGGCATTTCAGGTGACCCTGGACATGCAGCAGTACATGAACATTGCTGTCAGGAGAGTGTTGAGCAATGAGGAGGAGCTGGTGAAGGAGTACAACGTGGCCACCTTCCCTTCTGCCTACTTGCTTGTCAGCAACGGCTCCTTCTCTCGCATCTCTGCGTGAGTGCTTCCCTGCTAATTCCCAGGTTGCAAACAGACCACCCCTGTTGTTAGCTGGTTAAAGCTTTACCTGTGCTGTACCCAGAGACTGAGGGTTTGAATCCTGGCATTTGTGGTTAGGGCTGATGATGGACAGGCTGCCTGTGCTTGGGCAGGAAGTGTGAATCCCAGCCTTTGTGGGTAGCTTTTAGGATGCTTGGATACTGCCTGGATAATGACATTCAGCAGGGTTCTGTGGAAGCTGCTTTACCAACCTGTAGACTTTGATAGAGAACGCCCTTTCTATCAGATCTTTTAAAGCTGTTTTACAGCCCCTTGTTCAGAAGGGTGGTGTTGAGTTGAAGAGGGTAAAGCTGACCCCTCCAGAGCTGAGCAGGAATTGTATGAAAGGTAGAGGAAAGTGCATCTTTTAGGGGAACTGGCTGCAGACAGTAACTCACCGTGAGATTTTCTATCTTCTTCCTGCTTCCCTGAAGCACCCTGGGGGGTGGCACTGCTGGTGTAGACCGAGGAGGGTAGAACATTTAAAGTGCTTCCTAGTCACCTCTCACATCCCTGACAAGGAACTCTAGGCAGCACTTGGCACTTTCCTTCTGCTGCTAGAGGCAGAAATAAATGCTCTTCTTGGAAACCTAGGGTGAGAGAAGGCTGCAGAAAGTAGAGTAGAGAGGGGGTATCTGGGGCTGGTAGATGCATGGGGAGAGGGTGGACACTGCATGTGTGTGGTAGGGCCTTTCATACACTCCTGGTAAGGAGTCTCCTCTTGTTTCAGGGTGTGATATCTCACATATGCCTGGGCCGGGGCGGGGGGTCTGGCAGCTGGGGGTCTATCAGGGTGGAGAGGAGACAGAGGCATCTCTCATATTTTGTCTTTGCCTCTTTAACAGGCAAGAGGAGGCACGATCCTCCTATACCTCCTTTCTCAGGGGCCTGTCTGGTATTAATGACAAGACTCTAATATTAAAAGCCCAGAATGTAACAACACCTCCTCCTTCAAGGGTGCCAGATGCAGAGCACCCAACAGAAACAACCCATTGGAATCATGCTGACAGGTAAGAAATGCTTTCTCTTGTTCTTCTGTCTGTCCAAATTTCTTCCCTTATGAAGCCTGAGTGCATTAAGATGCTGAATCATGACTAACATGAGGAGCATGAAGGGAGTGACCCTCTCAATGTGGACAGACCCACCAGGCTGTCAGTGCTCCATTTTTTTCTCTTCAGCTCCAAGCTCTACATGGCTGACCTGGAATCTGCACTGCACCACTCCCTGAGGGTAGAGACAGCCAAGTTCTCCATCCTGGAGGGAGAGCAGGTGGAGGCCCTGAAGTGCTATGTGTCAGTGTTGACCAAGGTGAGCACTAAGGAGACTTCAACCAGGCAAGGCTTCAGTTGACTGAACAGTTCTCCAGTCCCCTCGTCCTGAGAGCAGGTGTTGGGTGTTGCCACAATGACAGAGAGGAAAATCACTGGATTGCCCCACTGTCAGGTTAGAAGCAAGGCCAGCTGTTGCATTAATTACCCAGCTAATGAGGCTGTTCCTTGCAAACTAATTTATCCCAAGTCCATTTCAACTGGTGCCTAACAATGTGGCAGGCCACTTTGGGAGAGGTCAGACTGTTTGAAAATGCCACATTCTGGTTGGCATATGTTCCTGACAGTGTCCTTCCCATGCATTTCCAGTGCAGCTGTGGCCCAACCAAGCTGTAGGAAGCTCACAGGTATGGCTGTGTGTAAACACCAGGCTCTCACTGGATCTGAGCCCTGGATGTGGATACAGTCTTTGTTTAACTATTACCAGAAACAGGATTGCATCAACCATTCAGCTGGGAACAAAATCCCTACTTCCCGTCTCTGACCTGTGCAAGTGACCTGACCAGCCCCATCCACCTCTGACATATGCTACTCCTTTTTGAAACCTTATGTACCTATGCACAATGATTCAGCCTGGGCCAAGCTGCCACAAGGGGAAGTAATGGTGGCACTGCTGTTTCTTCCATCCTCAACTTGAAGTTTTGTTTTCTCCCAACTTTCTGCTCTGTTCTCTGCCTTTAAGCCCTGAACTGGCCATATCATCAGAGTGCAGAGGGCACCACTCCTTGATTCAGCAGCTTTGAAATGTCTCCTTTCCTGTGGCATATGAATGACTGGCAGCTGCTTATCCATATGTTGGAATTTGACTGACTAGCTGTGTGAGGAGGGCAGGACTAGGATAGCAAGGATTCATGTAGGTCAGGGCAAGGTGCCTTGGCATAGCTGTGCTGAATCTGCTAAACTCCTCTGCTTACTGCCAGACCTCAGTTAAGGCTGTCATTGAACACTGAGGAATTATTGAATTATTTAAATGAATATCCTACTTCACCACCTTCCCTTAGGAGAGTGGGGACTGCCTTCTCCTTCACATACTTAAGGAGATGTGGAGAGGTTCTATGGCTTTTGGTCTTATTTTGCAACCTTACAGGAAGAGTCTGTACTGGGAAATGCTTTGATGGCATCCAACAGCTGTAGCAATACTGGGTTTTGATTAGGGGACAGCTCTTCAGAGAGAGGCAACAGAGGATCCAGTGCTGAAATAGCACAAGGAACTCAGCTTGCCAAGCATGCTCACCTCCTCCAGCAAAGTTCACAGGTCTTGGACTGCTGTTGAGGGCAGGAGTGATGACTTTGCAGCCTCCATTTGTGCTGTTTTCTCACTGTAAAAATTGAGAGCTGGGTGTCAACCTGTTTCTAGTCTGGAAATAGCTGGTGCTGGGGATTGAACCATGATGTTTCAGACTTTGGCCACTAGATGGAGCAGTGCCACCAGGATTTCTCCAGCAGAAATGACAGGATCAGCAATTAATGGCCACTCCCCTAGTTTTGGGTGATTATGTCTGCTTTCCTGTGTGTTTACTAATTGTATAGCATAACAGGGTTCCTATGTATGACAGATAAGTAACAGCCAAGTGCTTTTTGCCTCTTGTTTTGTTTATTCTTCTTTTTTCATTTGTTCACCTGCTATTTTTGTCCTTCAGTCCTGCCTGTCTCTCTCTGTATGTATGCCTCTGTGATGTGGGTCTCTCTTTCTGCTTGTGTGATGTGTGTGTCACTCAATTCCCCAGTCCCTAGAGTGCTTGTGGTTTTAAAGTGCAGATACTAATCGGATTTTAGTTGGCTTATTGTCAAAGTAGCTTTCTGTGTTCCTTGGAGATGATCTGGAGCTGCGATCAAGATTTGGATCTTGGCTCTTGGCCTGGGGGTTGATTTGTTCATATGGGAAGCACCCTGAATACAGATGAAGAGACTTCCTAACACTAGCCTCTGGGATTCTGGTGAAAAGGGTCCTTCATAACCAGCTGGAGCCATGGGTAGCCAGGTGCTCCCCCACAGCCAGTGTTCTCTTACCATTCCCATTCTGGTAGCGACTGGGCCTGTCATAGCTGAGTTCCTTACAAGCAGTGTCTCACTTACAGAGAGCATTTGTGGCAAAGCTAGGGCATGGACTGTGTTGCTACATGCACATTTGTTTTATGTTGCCCACAAAGCTGTAACTTCTCCAGACTCTTTCTGGACCCAAAGCCAAGAGTCGCCACAGCATCTGTGTTCCTCAGGCATGACCAGGGTTGAGACTTGTCACTCACTGTATTTCCTCCTCTCTGTTTTTGGTGTAGTACTTTCCTGGACGTCCCTTTGTCAAGAATTTCTTGCATTCTTTGGACAACTGGCTGAAGGAGGTGAAGGAACCAAACATTTCCCACAGAGCCTTGGAGAAAGCCTTGAAGAATAAAAAAGATGTAAGACACTTAGAGAGTGTTTCCCTTCTGCACTGTAAGGAGGGACAAAGGATGTATTAGGTTGCCTGAATCCCTTCACTGGGGTTCAACTTCCTACTTTTGCTTCCCTTCCTCCCTCAGTTTTTCACTGGGGTTGTTTTCTGTAAATTCACCCCTGTCTGTTTCCCCATCAGCCTCCAAATCCAGCAGTGCTGACAAACAGTGTGACGTGGGTGGGTTGCCAGGGCAGTGAACCTCGCTACCGAGGATATTCCTGCTCCATCTGGACACTCTTCCACCTGCTGACAGTGCAGGCATCACGGTACAGTGCGCGGAATGCAGGTACAAGATAACTGTGCATTTAGTTTATATCCAGTTTTGCTACATCAGCCAATATGGCCATACAGAAAGTGGTGTGGAAACTATCCTGTTGTAAGCAGTTTACGGTTGCCTGATGCTGCATGGGCATCAGAAAACTTCTAACATTATTAGGAGACTAGAGAGAAGAGAGATGGATACCAGGAGAAGCAGAGTTGTCCATAAAAAATAAAGTCTATCCAGGAGGTCTGGCTGAATCCAGAAACATGGTTCTCAACATTTTTAGGCTCAAGGCACCCCTCCATAACTTTTCAGAATATAGCAGCATCGTATTTGCAATTAATATAGCAGCACCCTATTTCATTGTTTCTGCCAAATAACTTCTAGTTCTGTTACCAACTTCAGACATATTCCCAATGTTCCCAAATTAATTTCTGACATCAGAGAAAAAGCAGTTATCTCCCTCATGCCTGTTTTCTGTCTTACAGTTAACCCAGTCCCCCTTTTTATAACTTTATTTATAAAATAATCAAACTTATCAAACAGCAAGTTTGACATTTAAAGTTACAGATTCGACATTTCAAGTCATTGTCCACAGAAGTCAACCCAGTCACTTTTATATAGGGCTGGATGTTATTTATTCTGCACAGCATTGAACTGGCTTATTGTGTGTGCCCAAAATGGAGTGAGGAACATGGCTCTGACCACCAGAAGAGTTGCAGAAGCCAACCTAGTGTTGGAGCAGACTCGAGACTGGGGACAAGGAGTTCTCCCACTACTGAAAGCATAGAAGTAACCCTTGCTTCCCTCCACCTAGTTCTACCTATCTCAGCAACTATATATTACTGCATTTATTATAGCAGTGGTTTTAGTGATGGTTCTTACTTTTGCTGTAGAATCCTGGAGTGTAAAGCTTAGGTCAGGTGGGTCAGTAGCAGCAGCATTATGGCAGTCACTTGTCAGATTGGGCACCCTTTCCTTCTGCAGCCATGCAGAGGCACAATCTCTATGGGTGAAGAGATCTTCTATCCATCACCTATATCCAGGGTGTCTGTAATGCCCTAGACCAGATGCATCATGAAGTGTGATGCACTGTGAGACAATAGCACCATCCTGCTCACTTCTTTCCAAAGTCTTCACTTCATTTCTGGCTGGATTCCCTGCCCCTACATGAAACATTTACAGCAGTGAGGTAAGAGGCTTTGTTGCTGCTGCTCCTAGGCATATGTTGGAGCCCTGAATTCCCATCTGCCTAGGTGGTGGAAACTGGTCTCCTTTGTGCAGCATGTCAGTACCTTGCCTTTATCACTGGGAAGCTTTGCATGGCACTCTCTTCTCATGAGCCAAAGGCAGTACTGACATCTCCATTTAGCTACCCCCACACATCACATGAGAACAAGACCACAGCTTGAAATGATATCTAGCTCTTATATGTTCAGTGGGAGAATTGGGTGAGATAAGCAGTCACAGAACTGTAGGAAAATATTCCTGGAAGTGGGACTCAGGAGGTCATCTAGTCCCATCCCCTGCTCAAGGCAGGATCATCCCAGTCTAAAACATCTCATCCAAGTGTTTATGTAGCTTGCACTTAAAAACTTCCCGTGGTGGAGATTCTAGAACCTCTTTCAGGTAACCTGTCCCAGGGCTGAACCATGCCCCTAGTTAGAAAGTTATTGCTAAGATCCAAGGTAAGTCTCCCTAGTTGCAATTTTAAGCTTATTGCTTCTTATCCTGTCCCCTGTAGCCACAGAAAACAGTTTGTCACCACCCTGTTTTGGAGCTGCCTTGAGGTATTAGATGACTGTTATCAAATTCCCCTCAGTTATCTTTTCTGCAGTCTAAACTCTAGGTCTTCTGACCTTTCCTTGAATTCAGAGTCACCAGAGCATTTCTTCAGCAGAATCTATGTTATTTTGACTGCACAGTCAGACTTTGGCATTGCTGTCAGCCTATCAGGGCCTCACTGCCCAACAAGGCCCAGGATCCTGTGCTTTCCCAGGATGCATGTGTCCTAAATGACAGGAGAAGCCTTGCTTCTTTGACTGGCCCTTGGCTGTACCCCATGCAGATCTTTACATGGGGCAGTGTACCCAATGCTGGCTGCTCTGGGGGATGTTTGCAATTTTCGCAGTGTACCCAATGCTGGCTGCTCTGGGGGGTGTTTGCAATGTGCTGGTCCCACCCAGCCTCAGAGAGCTGGCAGGCAGCCAGGAAGAAATGAAGGGGATCTTGGAGTGCAGGGAAGTTTGGGGTGGTAGAGGGGTTGCTGTGCACAGTTGTGGCATCTCTCTGAGATGGAGAATATTCTCAGCTTTGCATGCTGCCTTGACAGGGCTGTCTTGTTTCCTCCAGGTCCATTAGAGGTCCTTGGTGCTATGCGAGGCTATGTCCGTTACTTTTTTGGCTGCGAGACCTGCTCAGAGCACTTTGAACAAATGGCAGCAGAATCCATGGACCAAGTGAAGAGCCTGGATGAGGCCATCCTCTGGCTTTGGTCAAGGCACAATCGGGTCAACGCGAGGCTGGCAGGTAACACAGATGGCATTGGCCACAACTGGGGAGAGGCAAGAAGTGTAGGAAGGTACAGCTTTGTTAGTTAATTCTTTCATCAAAAGACAGCTCTCTAAATGCTCTATTTAATAATTCCTGCTTCTCCCACCCAGGTATACGGTTACTGTTTTTCTCCCTTCCCCCACATACCTGTAAAGTCCACTTAAGGGAGGAATCAGTATATAAGCTGCTAACAGCTGAAGGGGAAGAAAGGACAAGTGTCCCCATGGACAGATGAACAAATGTCTTCCTCCTTGCCACTGTAGCCTCCCCTCTCACCACTGTAGGAGGCCCTACTCCCAGCATTCACATAGATTCCTCCACCTAGTGATCAAAGCAGTGTGGCCACATAATTGGATGAAGGAGAGACTGTTTGGTAGAGATGGACAATGAGAAGAGACTGTTCAGTCTTTGGGAAACCTTGCTGCTCTCTAAAGTAGAGGAGACAGTTCTTGTCCCAGCCAGTGGGGGCAGGGAAGGGTCTCTGGACAGAAAGCAGCTCCAGGGTTGAGACCTAGTTCTTGGCATTGTTGAAGGCTACAATCTCCCCCCCTCTTCACAGTCCCCAGTGACAAAGGGCATGTGAGAAGCTGCTGCTGCAGATGACTGGGGAGTGGGGCAATGGAGTGACTTCCCAGTAGGGGTTGGATGGGCCCCTGTGGTACACTTCCTGCACTGCTTGGTGTAGATGGAGCCTGGCTATAGCAGCAGAGGGGACATCTCTCTAAGGTTGCCCATCTCCTGCCAGGAGTGTAAATGCTCTGCCTACTGCACTGGGCCATGCTGCTGCTGCATAACCTGCTGGAAGTGTGTCTTGACTCTTGTTTGCTCTGATTTGTTCAGGTGACCTGACGGAGGACCCCAAATTCCCCAAGATGCAGTGGCCTCCCCCAGACATGTGCCCCTCCTGCCACAAAGAGATCAATGGACAACATGCATGGGATGAGGTAGCCGTCCTGCACTTCCTCAAGGGCCACTACTCACCAGTCAACATCTACTTTGCGTACACAAAACCTGAGAAATTTCTGTTGGCCAGGGACAGCCGGGATGCGGAGGAGACAACTGGAGTCAAGGGCAAGGGCAATGGGATAGTGGGGATGGAGGATAAAGGGAGAAGAGAGGAGGAGGAAGGAGGAGAACAAAGGAGGACAGAGCAGGTGGACCCAGTTGTGGGAAGAAAGATGGTCGCTCAGAAATGGCAAGCCCTAAAAGCTGCAGCCTTGGCAGCCAAGAAGAAGCAGCATCTAAGCAAGAGGGACACCACACCATTACTGATGACAGATGATAACAGTCGCCGGGCTGTTGACTATGCAGCTGCCCAGGAGCACCTGAGAAGGCGAGGGCTTAAGTCCAAGGAGATCATTGGTGTCCTGGAGGAGGAAGGAGATGATGGTGTGAGGAAAAGCCGGTGGTTCCATGTGCTGGGACTGGGTTACTCCCACCTGGACATCAGCCTGTACTTCCTCTCCTCCATGTGCCTGCTGGGCATGTACACCTTCTACATACGGCTGGGGTCCAGCAAGGGCCGCCCTAGGTTCCCCATGGCATGAGGCTTGCAGTGGGTGACCAGCTATTTCCAGTCAGGGTTGATTAAAAATTATCCTTTGTTTTTTTCCTTAAAATCCAAGTTTTTTAACATTTTAAATTAATTTTTATTTAACTTACAGATACATTATTTTTTAAAATCCTGTTTAAAATTAAATCTGAATTTAGTACAAAACATGTTAAGATCTAAATCTGAATGCCTTGAGAGCCAATGATAAATAAAAAGTAAATATGCTGAATCCATGAGTTTCTATAAAAATCTTTGAGATACAGTGGGCTGTGTGCTTTTTATTAGAAAAATCAGGGTGAAACACATTTAGCTTTTGAACTTGAGCTTTGTATATTGGCACAATAGATCTTGTACTGCATTAAGAGTTTGACTTTTTGTGGAACTCGAGAACAATCTCTCTTTTGCCATTTTCTAATATACTAACAATATAAAATGTTAAGCTATATAATTGCTTTAATAAATCTACATTATTTATAGCATGCCCACTTTGGTGGTAAGAATATATCCCAAGTCCTAGTGTAAAGGTTCTATTTAGTTGTAAATCTGCATGTTGTAATTATTATATCAACCAATGAGAAGGCATTTTTCTTTAGAAAGCAGCTGAAATACACATGGAAAAGTTGATTAAAATCAATGATTTTAAATTGAGGCCTTCCACTTGGTGATTTCAAATAATTAAATGGATTATGTAAATTACTGCGATTTAATTAATCCACATTGTGAGCAGTGGGAGAGTGGCAGGGATAGGCCTGCTACGGGCCAAGTGTCAATGGTTCCTTATACAGCTCCATGGCTGCAAGGCACCTGAATCTTCAGCTGGATTGCCATGGAAATGGGCATGGCCGGCTGGTTTCTTGGTATTGCTGTTGCTGCTGCTGCTGAGAATGTGGAGGTGCCTACTTACACAGATATGACATGTTCTTCAGGGATCCAAAAGTGTTGCCTGGTACTAAGGGCCTCTGAGAGATTTACTGCAGCTGCCAAGGAGATACTATATGTGTGCGCTGAGGTGAGGGGAAGGGGGTTTGAAGTTGTGAAATGTGAGCAGCTTTCGCTCTAGCTGCTACTGTTCCTTTCTGAGCTTGAGGCTGTAAAGAGTTAGGTCAGAGGTTCCCAAACTTTTTCCTATTGAGTACCCCCTTCCAGATTTACCAGCTGCCCATGTACCCCTACCAGCATATGGTTTATATTTTAACCCCTTAAATAACAATTATTATTATGAAAAACCCATCGTTACACAATTTCTCCTGCATATCCCTCAGAGAGGTCTTGCATACCTCCAGGGGTTATGCATACCACAGTTTGGGAACCCCTGAATTAGGCCATGATCAGGGTTATCCTTTTGGGCCAAAAGACACTAGATATCTCATAAACAACTTGAAAAGCCACTTGAGCTTAACCCTGTTTTAAATCACATTAAAGCCACTGCTGAGAGGTGATCCAAGTGGCTGTTGCTGAACTAGTTTCAAGATGTCTTTTGCAACCGCCAGGTCTGCACACTGCAGTGCCACCCAGATTCTGCATTTGGAGGAACTGGCTTAAAAACAGATAGAGAATATGGACCCTCAGTCTGGCCATGGATGACACAGTTGGAGCTATTAATCCTGTAGCTCCTACGCCTAGATTCATAGATTCATAGATGTTAGGGTCGGAAGGGACCTCAATAGATCATCGAGTCCGACCCCCTGCATAGGCAGGAAAGAGT